AACCTCCGTCGACGCCAAGTCTGACCGGCGGCGTAGACCTTTGCTCGTACTTCGGACCAATTCTTCTCCAGCTGGAGGTCGGGTCCAAACCACACTCCGAGAATGCGGACAGGACCGTTCGTCCAACCGAAGGGCCCTGGAAGACCGACCCCCTTCCAGACGCCTAGCCGCAAGCCGGACGACTTGTCGCGGTTAATCTTGGCCCCTGTCACCTTTTCGTACCGATCAAGCGCCTTCTGTACTGCCTTAATGCCTCTGCGGGACGACACGAAAGCAGCTAAGATTTATTTTGTAAAATTACAAAATTGTGGCACAAGGCCAAAAAGGGGGAGGGGGTAAGGCTGGTCTTCACTAACTATCTTATACCTAGCTAATTTGATTCACGACCCATTCAGACATTACAATTTGCTCATTCACCATAAGAACTCGTCCATCATCAGTCAATCCTCCTTGCACCATAATACCACATCCACTCTAGGGAGACCTACAAAACGCGCCCCATGTCATAATGATCCTAACACATATGTACAAAAATTCTAAGATGAAAAAATGAAATGGGGGTGGGATGTGAACCCAATAACAAACTAAAATATTAACATAAATGAAAATAAAACGTTAACTGATGTTAGTAGGGCCCTTCCAACCCTCAAAATGCAGGGAGACCACTGTATTCTGCCCACTGGAACAAAAATCAAGCAGCTCTCTCGCTAAGGGAGTGGGAAAGGTGATAAAAAATCATACGGGCATGGGGAAGTATAAAGCTGACCCAGTCGAGATAGAAAGTGGGGGATCAAAAAACAAACTGGGGAGGTTGGGAATCTCAGGGTGGATCATAACTAAAGATGTGGCCGGGGCAGGCCGGGAACAACACTTACTCGCATTAACTAGGTACACCAAGGCTTGTCTAACCTAACCAAGGGGAGGGCACCACAGGAAGCCACCCCCCGATGTAACGTAGGCTTGACCTAAAACAGAAAATCAAGGCTAGCCCCGTTCACACGAACCAAGCTCGCCTCAGTCACCCACCTTTCGCTGAAGACTGTCGAATGCAAGCGTTTTCTATCAGTTCTGATCTTCATCTTGAGCTGATGCTCAAAGAATCGATTCAGATCCTGATGAGAAAGACGGATACCTCGCAAGACTTCCTCCTCTCGCGTCGTCCATATCACCATTCGGGCCGTGGCTAGCAGCATGAGAAACACCATCCGTTTCACCCCGGAATACGGGGGCGACACATTGTCACACGCGTATGCGCGATCCATGGGCACAAGCTTTTCCGGGAGCGAGACGAGCCGTCAGCTCGCCGACATGGTCCCATAAGGGGGCGGACACGGGGGCAATGGAAGAAGGCGTGCGAAGCCGTTTCCTCTAGACCAAGGCCGCACCGTTCACAGTCTGGCAAATCCGCCAAACCCCATATGAAGGCCATGTCGTTGAGAGGCAGCCGATTCCGAGCCAGTCGCCAGGTAAGCGAAAACTCAGGGTTACTGAGGTTATCCGCCGCTGGCGCCCAAGACCAGTGAGAGCGAAACTCATCCTCCGACATGTCGAGATCCTTACGTAGGGGATCCTTCGCGACCCCCTCCACTAGCAAACGATAGAAGACCTTCCTAGGCCGAGAAAGGTCACTGGACCAAGGGACAGCCAACAAGGCCGACCGACACTCGCGAAAAAAATCCGATTGAACCCGGGGTTTACGACGGCGATCCACCCGCCAGATTGGGGGACTGATGGTAAGGCGAGGGAAGGCGGCCCTCACAATCCTCTCAATAATCGGATCTCTACCTGTCAAAGCGCGGCGTAGGAAAGCCAACCTCGAGGCACGTTTGTGGCTCAGCAAGTGTGGCATTCCCAGCCCCCCATGACACGGACGTTGTGCACAGACTTCTCTGTCGACCTGATTCGCGCGTCTCCTCCACAGAATGGAGGTTAGCGCGCGCTCGAGCGGTATCCTGTGGTCGTCACAGAGAGAGGAAGTACGGACAATCGATAAAGGACAAGAGGGAAAATGTATGTAGCACACACCTCCGCCCTGCCCTTCACGGACAACCTCCGTCGACGCCAAGTCTGACCGGCGGCGTAGACCTTTGCTCGTACTTCAGACCAATTCTTCTCCAGCTGGAGGTCGGGTCCAAACCACACCCCGAGAATGCGGACAGGACCGTCCGTCCAACCGAAGGGCCCCGGAAGATCGACCCCTTCCAGGCGCCTAACCGCAAGCCGGACGACTTGTCGCGGTTAATCTTGGCCCCTGTCACCTTTTCGTACCGATCAAGCGCCTTCTGTACTGCCCTGATGCCTCTGCGGGACGACACGAAAGCAGTTACGTCATCGGCGTACGCGGAAACCCTGGCTCGAGCCCCGCCAGGAACGGCGATTCCGCATAGGGCCGGCCTGCACGCCCCGTCCCTCAGCCGGCGAAGGAGAGGCTCCAACGCCAAAGCGTAAAGTAGGGGCGACAGCGGGCAACCCTGACGAACCGACCTAGACAGCGCAAAGCGCCCGACAGCTTTCCGTTCACCTGTACCACAGCACTGGGGAGCGATACAGGAGGCTAATCCAGCGGCAGAAGTCGGGTGCGAATCCGGCGGCCTGCAGGACAGCAGCAAGGTAGCGATGGTCAACCCTATCAAATGCCTTGGACTGATCCAAATTGATCAGCGCGGCACACTCGTCGTCTTTACACCCTCTATGATCGTGCGGATCAAATGCAGGTTGCTCTGAATTGTTCGACCCTCACAGAACAGGTCTGCTCGGGACCCAACAGAGACTCGGCAACTGACTGCAAGCGCTCCTGCAGGATCCTGGCCATAATCTTTAACTCTGTGTTTAGCAGAGTTATGGGCCTGTAGTCGTCTAGTTTCCCCCCGACACCCTTGCCCTTTTTCAACAGTGTGATCACACCCCTGGAGAACCGGTCGGGAGAGACCCTGCCGGAACCAGTTGTTGAAGACGACCGTCAAAATCAGGACAAAGATGTGCGACAGCCTCAAGTACACTTCATAGGGCAGACCATCCAGACCGGGCGACTTGCCTCTGCCGACCTTCTTCAAAGCCGCGTAGACCTCGCCCTCGGTAACCTCTCCTCGCAGCTAACCTTCAGTCGGCGAAAGCCGAGGAAAGTCAGCCAAATAGCTGCGAAACTCGTCCTCACGAAGACCAGGCTCCCTGGTAAAACGGCTCTCGAAATGCCGCCGAAACGCCCTCGCACATGTCGTCAGTGGCCCGAAGGGTGCGCCCTTCCGGGTTTTGACTTCACGAATATAACGATCGCCACCTCGACGGACCTCTTCCCCGCAGCGCTGCGCCCATATTCACGGCTTCGGAAGACATCTTGCTTAACCTATGCCTAATTACCTGGCCCATGTAGCGTTCGCTATTCAAACGCTGCAGAGCCTCCTTAGCTACGGCTATCTCTAGGGATCCCCCAGCCACCGCCCGGCATGACTAGCTTTAAGCGTCCTCACCTTATCAGCTCTATCTAGGGCGAGCCGTTTGCTGAAATCAGTGGTGAAGGACCTAATTCTACATTTAAGTCTGTCCCACCACCTATTCCTGATAACCGCCCCCACTAGCTCCCTGCTGCACTAAGTTAGTCAGCTGCTCCCGAAAGTCCCGCCTGTCCAGTAAGGACAGATTGAACTTCCAGTAGCCAGCCATTCTAGGCCTATGTTCTAACGCCACACGGGCACAAACGAGTTTGTGGTCCGTATAGCCTACCCAGTGGAACGTGGGACAATCTAACAGATCTATGTCGGCCCTTCTCACTAACATTCTGTCAAGGTAGCTAACTACCTTGTCACAAGGCCAGCTACGAGCCCACGTCCACATTTTCCCCCCGGGGTGATCGACCCGGTATCTATCAACGAGACCGAAATCTTTGATCAGATCGACCAGGCTACGATCGCCCCTTATCCCGCTAGCACCCCGCCCCGATCTATCTTGGGGTCCAGGATGGCATTCCAGTCCCCACTAGAACTAAACGCTTGAAGCCACCAGGAAAGGCCCCAACCGCCGAAAAAACGAAACCCGCTCCTCCTGGTCGTTGGGCGCATAAACCGCAACGACCCGAATTGGGCGACAAACGTGGCTAAGAATATTTGGAAAGATTTGTTCAAGTGCTCCCTGGCTAGAGGGAGTAGAAGACCGTAGATAATAAATTACTATCAATGGTTGCTGATGTTTGGAATGTCTCTGCATAGTCAGATGCACACGAGGTATGGTTTGGCATAAGCGATATTGGACTAGCCGTCCGGTTTCTCGCATGTTGCTTGACCTAGATCTGCGAGATCAGGAGTTGTGAAGGTCAAGGTCGGCTTTCTAAGGAGCGGCTAATCGGCGACCGCGACACCATTAAGACCAAATTTTTAAGACATTAAAAATTATATATTGTTTTTATCTCATAAGGATATAATTCTGTGCTGGTTGAAATGAAAGCATAGTTTTGTATCTGCTTTTGGTTTACTTGTCACAACGCACTCGTAGACATTTCATCAAATGGCGAGTATGCATTTTCATTATTTTGACAAGTACATGTTTTAGTTTTACGCAGTTTCTGTTTACAACTGTACAAGTTTTGCTTTAGTTTTTAAACAAGAGTTCAAAATATGCGGAAAAAAGGAAAAAAGAATCAATCAATCAAAAATTAAAGTTAAACTATTGTTTTGAAATCTTAATTTGAGCAGAGAAAATATTTTTAATAATGACAAAGTAAGCGCTTTTTATACAACTTATTTTAATCAGTATATTTTAATTTAACAAGTTTGTAAAAAGTTTAATTTCTAAAAATAAAGTGATAAAATGAAATTAATATTTCTTTCTTTTTTTCTTCCTTTTTCAGGTTAGTTTCACTTTTACGGACTTTAAAGTTGTGGTTGGTTAAATGATTTTCGACACCGGGTAAAAGTTGTACTGTGAGAAAAGAAAGCATGAAATATTAGTTACACCGGTTCAAAGCCGTCAGTTGAAGTGCATTGTGGGAATTCACGTGACACGCAAAGATGGCGGACGAAAGAGAGCCTCCCCCGTTTGAGGAGTATTACAGCATCAAAGATGAAGATGATTTATTTGCCGATGCCAGTGAGGTAATTTTCTCATGGATATCTGTTTTATCTTTCTCTCCTGTCCTCTCTATTTTGGTCATTAAGAAAAAAAAAAAAAGAAGAAAAAATCTCACTCTCATGAATTGCCTTCCCTTTGCATGTTGGTTGGTTACCGAACACCTGAAAAAGGAGGCGGTTTCTTCGCTGCTTGATGAAGGAAGTTAACGACACTTGTTTAATGTTTGTTTATTATACGCGATCACAACGAAATACATTTTTACGTCCCTGTTTATTTATTTTGTAACTTTTAATTTCCCTTTTTGACTATTATTAGATACAGCTCCTAAGTTAGACAATTTTATTTATATTTATTTTTGGTTTTATAATGACGTATTTTTACTTGTACCTGCGACAAAATACAAATTATTAGTTATTGATGAAATGGGTGACTGAAGAAAACTTTCAGGTGAAAATTTGAAGTTTTAAACAAATGGAAGAGGAGAAATAAAGTTGCAGATTTATTTTCGATTTTTAAATATTTTCTTTTATTCGGTTATATCTTCTTTTGAAAACACTTTTGTATCTGACTTCTATATTTTTTATTGTTTTGAATTTGATTATTTTAATATCCGTTTTCTCTTTAAGTCTCCTTAAAAAGTGTTTCAATTTAGCCTTTTTAAGCGGTAAATTTTATTGTTTTTCTTTAACATATTTCCCCCCTTTTTTTTCTTATTTTATCACAAAGCACGTTATTTAGAATTTAGATGCTTAGCCTCAAATGTTAATATTTATTACGTTTTTAATTCTATTTTGTTTAGTCGTGAAAAATTTATTTTAAAAAATTAAAATATATTGTGAAAACTTTTTTTTTCCGTCAGTTTTTATTAGTTTATGGATCAAGATTCAAATTGTCACTTATTTTTATATTATGGTTGTTGATTTTGTTTTAATCAAATATCTTTCGCTTTTCTTGACTATTACTATTATTATTTTTTTATTTTTTTTCAAAGAAAAACTTTAGCAAATTTTTCACTTCTTTGAAATCTTATATTTCGTCTTTTGACTTTCCTCTTTTCATATTTATTTTTGTTTTTGTTTTCTAGTTTTAACTTTTAAAAAAGTTAAAAGGTTGACCCTGTTACTGTCTTCTCTTGCATTCCTTCGCTTTCCACTTCAACTGGTGGTGTCTGCTTCTTGCCAAGCTAACCTCTTCTTGTGTGAAGTACCCCGCCCCCTACTATAATTTAAAAAAAAAAAACACTTTTTAAATCATTAGCAAGTGTTTCACGTTAAAGAATCCCTCTCGTTTACTTAGTTTTTATTCCATTCTTAACAGTTTTCATCTTTATTTGGTAACCCTAAAAAAAAAAAAAATATGTTAAAAAGAAGTTTTCTATCCTGGCTTTCTAAGCGGTAATGAACTTGAACTACAATATTTTTTGTCAATGTGTTGCAACTACCTGGGACCCACCTCCCATTTATATCCACGTAGATTTTTTTCAATACTCCCTCGTTATATGTCACTGGTAGTTCTTTTAAAATACTTACTTAGTACTTGTCTTTTTCTGTGTTTTTTTTTTTGTTTTTTGGGGTTCTTTTTTATCTTTTAATCGATCAATAATCAAATGATTCCGTTAAGACTTTGGAAAGAAATATATCCACTGACATCAGGATAGACAACAGTAACACCCTTTCCTCGAATAATGGCTTGGTTTGAAATTCCTTTAATAATTTGATCAACAGAGACTTTTTTTTTCAATAACAAAGCAGTCGATTACAGTTGAGTAGTAGAAAAGTAACTTTTACACTGACATTAACCAAGTCTTGTAAAAATAATAAAAAAATGAAACTTTGTGTGGAAAAAAAACTTTCATGTTGGTTGGGTTTTTACCCGTTACCACCAGCCTCTCCTTTCAAACTTGGCACTTTACTTTTTAGTAGTGACTAAAGTTTTTAGTCTAGTTTCCAATAAAACATCGTAAAATCAAAGAAACATACACACATAACGTACCTTTTTCCCCATTAAATTTAAAATATTTTAATGTTTTTTTTTTCTTCTTTTTTTCTGTACGTAAGTTCAATTCTTGGAATTGAATGATTCACCCGAAAATCTATATTTTACTTTTACTAGTAATTTTATTTATTAAAATTAAATTTTTATTCTAAACTTGAAATTCACTTTTTAATTTATCCTCCAAAAATTTTTTACAAAAAAATAGCATACTTGGGGCATTTTTCTTTCTTGATAAAAACAAAGTTTTACCAAAGATGTTTGTTATTTAATGATAAGAAGAGTAAGACTAAGAGGAAAGACAAAGTGATTTTTGAATTTGATTATTTTATAAATTTTTAAATAATTCTTTCTAGCACGTTCGAAACTTTGGTTAAATCAGTGGGTATGCCAAAGAATTAGGAAAATTTACTTTTTTTTTTTCCCGGTAAAAAATACAAAAAAAAACATTGTTTTGGAATTTCTTGCAAAAATCAAATAATTGTCGGATTTTAATGAAATTTTCGAAACTTATTCACAAATGAATAAAAAAAAATTATGAGATTTCGAGAAATTAAAATTCCAGGGTTTTCATATAAAAGAAAGCAGGACTCCTTCAATTTGTTTTTGTCAAACAGAAACTAAACAGTAAACTAAAAACACCATAGCGAAAATCTGCTCGTAGTCGTAAAATAAAAAGCAATATAAAATTATTTAATTAGGAAAGCTTTTAATTGCTTTTATAAATAAACCTTAATAATTTTTTTTTTTTTTTTAATGAATTTTTTTTACAAGAATCGTTTTAATTTGTAAAAGATTTTAATTAGAAATTTTTTTTCTGATAAATAGCTCTCTCTATCTTACCATTAATTTTTTTTTCCTGAGGCTTTTGTCATTCAGCACGAGACACCCCCCCTCTTCGAAGCATTATTCATAACTATTTTTACGCAATCTATAAATTATACTAAATTATACTTGCTTTCATTCAGGTGAAAAAATAATTGTCCCCTTATTACAGCTTCATAGGAATTCTCCTCAAACTGAATACGATGACCTTTTTTGCTTTCCACCTTTTTTCATTATAATTTTCATCAGTGATCATGTTTTTTAGTGTAACTTGCCTTTTTTAAATGTCAACCCTTAGATCACATGAAAATTCTCTGCTCTGTGAATAGTGAATAAAGACCTTTTCAATTCGAAAATACACAACACGCCCTTAAACTGTTCGTGTTCACAATCAAGAGTTCCCATGACATTTCCACATATTCCTTGGGATGATGAAACAGTCTTGAAGGCATTTTTTTAACATTGTGTCGAAATTACTTAAGCTTTTTTCAGTTGATTTGAAAATAAAAAAATAAACTTAAAATTATTAATAGTATTTATTTTTTAAATTCCGTGGAAAGAAGTGGGAGAGAAATTGAGAATAAAAAATGTCAATGTAAATTGTAAAATTATTCTTCATAATTTTTGAATTGGAGCTTTAATGTTTGTTTAACAAATGTTTATTTAATGGCTTACAATTCAGACTAAAATGCTTGTCATGGTTATTATACCAACATACTAAACCCAGGAAATGAACTCTTAATGAGTATGCCAAATTAAAATGTATATAAATATATCTATCTAAAAAAAAAAAAAAAAAAAAAACCTTTAATACAGACATAGACGAAAAAAGTACCAAATTTATCTTAGCTCAATTAGCAATAAAGTTATGACCATTCAAAGTTCATAAAAACATTTTTGTCTCTTGTGCTATTGTACAAATAGCCAATTTTAACAGTGAATAATCTAATATGCAGGTTTCAAACGAGTTAAAAATCATTACAAATGTAATATCATATAGGTAGTCTCGAAGTAAAAGAAAGATAATGTTAATGGAATCAAGTTTTAGATTAGAACAGCCTTAGACAGAATTAGAACATGGGGAAAATTCTGTTCTCAAAAATAAAATCATAATGACACAGGTGGGGAAATCTGATTAGTTATATAAATTTCAGTAGTTAATTGCCTTGTAACTTCTTCCTATACTTCATAGCATGTCAGAGATGGACACATTTTTTTTTTCAGTAGTACATCTATAAAACACCTATATTTACATCATATAAAAACGGCCAGAAGTGTAATTTAATAGCAGGGTAAAAAATATATCATACTGAACTTACCATAAAAAGTATCCATTGGAGGTATACACCTGAAACTTTACTTATTTGGGGATGAGAAATTCAACAAAAATGCTATACAAAACACTGTAACATCAATGCTTTTTTTGTAATGTGTGTATCTTATCTGGGAAAATTATGTAAGTTTCAACTTGTCAAAAAACAGGACTGTATTGACTACAAAACTTAAAAATTTGTTTTACAAAGGAAAAACAAATACTTTATAATAGTTTTAAACTGGTAGAAAAGACTTTCTGGACATCGTGAATGGTTCTTCTGTACTTACTCTTTAGATGGTGAGATTTGCCAACTAAATTTCCTTATAATCTTCTGTTATGGCTAATATTTCTGGAACATTCGATATCCAGCAATCACTTGAAACTGGCATTACATCAAAGTCCCATCTAAAGACAAATGTTGATTCCACTTGTGCAATATCATCTGATAATCATTTCTGTTCTTTGCTAGAGCAAAAAATTTTATCATAGCACTAAATGGAGATGTAATATCAATGACTTGACTAATGTAAAAGTTAGTCATAATATACTGCAACCGATTGGTCTTGGCACTTGTAAGTGAAAGTCATCTAAGGTGGTTCATCTTCATCACAACTGTTAGAATTTTTTAAATACACAAATCATTGAGTGTCTTAGAAGTAGAGATGAATCAACTGATTTTCTTGTCAAGTAGTTGCAAAGTGCAGTTTCCAGCTTCCATTGATGTTGATCTTGATATCTAAGTTGATCTTTCAGTGCTTCCAAACCACTGCTTGTACATCTTTAATAGACTTCATTGAAGCAGTTGCTTGATATTTTTCTGTTTCTCGTTTTGAGCAAACCTTTCTTGTACATGAAGTTTCAGAAGTACTTCTTGTGTCTTTGTTGCAGGTG